CTCATATCTCCGTCAAAAAGGCGCATGGGCCCAAACTAACTTGGGGTTTTTCACTATTGACTATTCCCTACATGATGAAAATAGTCTGAGTCGAAAAGCTTTTAATCACCTCGAGAGGTTCCCTCGTAAGTCTTTAAATGACTCGATCCGTGACCTACCTTTGGTGATGCCGACATTGTTTTTACTTGAATTTATCCTAAAAGACTAACTATTCAGTTATGAGAGAAAATTAGTCTCACCACCCATGCAGGAAGTAAAACATCGTCGTTGCTAAGAAACGCAGTCTAACATTGTTTGGTATTCAGCACTTATTTTCGAGTATAAGCTGGTTATTTTTTGACAAATTTGTGATGATAAGACATATTAAACTCGAAATTAGATTTCAATATTTGTCAAATGCACTAGCACCTCAACATAATGCGTCACTAGATCCAGTAGGCAATCATTAACATAGATAAAAGAGTGCGATGGGGGTATAGCGGAACGTATAATAATAAAGAATGAAAGAGTGATGTGATTCAGTCTTTCGTCAGCGCTAATTATCTAAAGTGTTTACCTTCATTATAATATATATTGTTTAAGTACAGAGTATTGCAGAAGAAGAAACGCTCTTAAATTCGATTTTAGATTTTCATTCAGTTTACAGAGACCTAGTATAATTTTATATCCGATCAAACATGGCAAAAAGTGTATTAGATACAATAACTGAACAAGGTATGTGTGTACGATATTAACTATGTTTTCTTTTTAAATGATTTATACTATTTTGTGTAGATTTCTACAGTGGAGACACATTCACTCTCACGGATTCAGTTAGCGCTCCATCAGGAACTTTGTTTAGAATCCGAAAATTTCTTTTATAAGTATGAAGTATATATAAGTATGCAACAGTACAGTAAAAGTTCAAAAGTTTTCCTTCCACAATGTGTTGCGCCGAACTTAAAATGATGTAAAGTTCAAAGACTTAAGTATATTTACTTTTTTTAAGGTCCGACGATTGCCATATGGACAAGTATAATGTCAACTGGTGGTGGTCTCGGCGAAATTTTCGTTAACCATGATGCTCGTATGCATGTAAGTGTTGCTAAATCCTTTGACTATTGATAAATCGTTCGTTCTTCTAGATAAGTCCCGAACATGCTATACAACAACTTCTTGAAGCACATAAACGTAATAAAATTTTAACCAATTTAATGCTAGCTGCAGGTGGAATTGGAGGACTTCTCTCATATCAAAATACGAAGGATAGTTATTGGCTAGTTGGAGCAGGATTGATGCTCGGTAAGCATATTCACTAGTTCAACCTTTTTCTTTTGCACTAGGTTTTTTTTCGTCGTATTCTAGCTGGTATACCATACTGTGCATTAATTGAAAATCCCGTGTGCGATCAACTTAAATTTCTTACATTAGATGCCAAATCAGAAAAAGCAAAAAACTTATTAACATCATGGGGAAGAGTGTCTTTGGGCAAACTTGCATTAGCATTGGGCGGTTCCGTCGTTTATTATTTTGTTGCTCGACGTTAAAGAATAATTCGCAATACACTTTTCAAAATTTTATGTTTAATCACGCTTTCATATAAATGTCCTTTAAAGACTATTATAGTTGTCCCTCTTTTTTGATTTATAATAAGTGTTTGCAGTTCTATTTTTCCTTTTCTGATGCAAATTTTCTTCTGATGTACTTTTTTTTTATACAACAGATGGTCGCTGACCACAGAATAACTTATGTGAAAATTTTACTTATAATAAGAACTGTTCGAGCAAAACTACGAGGCAGTTTTAGCTCAGCGGCATGTGATAGTAAGAATTCCTGAACAATAACGGAAATTGGTTTCAAAAACTCTACTTTTTAACTATTTATTGACGAAAATAAAATCATCTTGGGATTCATCTATTTAACCAATTTTTTTTGAACAGTTTCCACAGATTATCAAGTATTTCAAACAAATATGTCTATGACAACGTCTGAATATTAGTAGGCCAACTGGATCATAAACGGTTTGCTCGAAAAAGCTTATTGGACACGAAGCTAGTAGTAGCGCGATAGCTACAACTGTGGTGACGTGTTACTTTTATTTTTATATCGACAACTCATGTGTTTGATGGGAACAGAAAATAGGCTGGTTAGAGAAAAGAAGCAGGATTATTTTTAAATTTATGAAGCATCATAACTTCACTGCAAGTCTGCGTGAATTTCTTCTTTCAGATCGATAAAATCATGGCTCAAGCTGGTATTCTTGATTCACTAACCGATCTTGGGTATGAATAGAATAATTTCTTTTCGTTTCCTTCAATCCAACATGATTGAAAACAATATAGAAAATACTTCATAGAAAGTGTGTTAAAAATATTATTTTCGAAAGAAATTAGAGAAACAAAACATGTTATCTAGTTTATTACAGAAATTCTCACTTAGTTTTTAAACTGATGTAGATTATACGTTTGAAGCAATAGATATGATCAGAATATCAGTTGTTTTTTTGTTCTTGATAACAATAGTTCTCCTAACGAAATTAAAGATGAAGAGCGACTCGAACAAGTATTAGCAGCTGATATAAAAAGTGAACAGTTTCTTCCATATGCCAAGTTAATTGCTTGGCTAACGCAAGAATTAAATGGATTTTACAACATTGGAGAATATGTGCAAAATGTGAATTGTAAGAGATGTTTTTTATTTCTAAGAATCCTGTTCTTATCATTTGTACGTTTATTTTTGTTTTAGCGCCGCAAGACATAAATAATTTTTTGATGGAGTTAGGTGGTTTTTTGAATGATTATGGTAAGTTTGAACATGTTCATTAACATTAAAAAACATGTTTTTTTCTGTCTAGGTTGTCCATATACAAACCTTCAAAGTCAAAATAATCAGAAATTAACAGATCATGAATCACGTGTACAATTGTTAGGTATGTGTACAAGATAGTCCAAAAATAATTAGCGTCTCTTACGATTTGTCCTACTGTTTAGACTTTTTATGTACCGAACTTCAGGCGGCTAAAATGGTAAAACTTTTGAAGCCAGAAATGTTGACAAGTGGTGTATCTCAAGAAAATACTAAAAAAATGGTTAGTAGACACTTTTCTTATGTAATGGAAACGTTCATTTTTTGTCTTGTTTTTTTTTGTTCAGTCAAATGAAAGTGATGAAGCACGTGATTTGAAAGCGCTGCTCATTGCGCTTGGTTTTCCTGCGCCGCCACCGACAATTACTGGCGGTCAGATATGTACGAAAGTGGAACAAAAGGTAACTGAACTTCTTAAATCATTGCCGCCAAATTATTTGGGAAAACCGTTGCTAAAAGTCAATCTGTCGGAAAAACAATGGAGTGAAGTCCACAAAATACATAGTTTATTATATGAAGATTATAAAACAAGACGTGAAGTATTACTCAAACGGCTTGATGTAACAATTCAATCGTTTAAATGGGCGGATCGATTGAAAAATAAAAACAATGAAATAACAGAGGCATTTTCAAGCAAACGTAAACAAATGGTAATTGAACCAAATGTGAGAATAGAAGATATATTGGCTGCTCGAGAAGGTATTATTGTCTGATTGACGTTGATCTCATAATGGTTGGCTGATCAATTTTTACTTTAGATTTATGTCACATGGAGAAAACGTGTGGTACGAAAGAATTAGCCAGCATACGTTCTAATTTGCACAAAATTATCATACCAGAAGTACGTGATTAGTAAATTAAGCTTTTTTTGTGAATATAACAATATTATTGGTTTTCTAAGGTACCGGATCGTGGTGGCAGAACAACTGAACTCCAGGCACCACCTCCTGATATGCCTACATTTCAACGTGGTGGTGGCCATCAAGGACATCGAGGTGGACAGCAACATAATGCTCCTAGACAACAACACAATGATCGTCCACAAAGTAAAAGTTTCTCACTCACAGTAGACATATCGCTTACCATATTTTCTTTTGTGTAGGTGGACGAGTACAGGGTGGTTGGGCACATGGTGGTGGTGGTGGTGGGTATGGTGATATGCAGTATACCGGTGGCTATCAACAACAACAGATGTATGCACCTGCTTATCAACATCAACAAGTTTATCAAAATCCAAACATGAGCTATCAGGGTCAACAACAAGTGATTAATGAATATGCTGGTGGTATGAATCAAGGAGGTTATCAAGATAATTCTGGATATGGTGGTGGACGTGGACGTGGTTCAGGACGCGGAAGAGGACGAGGAAGAGGACGTGGTGGCGGATATTAAATTACAGATAGTTCCTTATTATTGTTATTCTTTTTTTCTGTATACAAAACAGATGTTCTTTTAGGCCATTTTATTTTGACTTTTGTTTTACTTGTTGTTTATTGACAAACATACTATACATAATCAAGCTTTCTTCATCATGAAGGTTTGTTTTGTTAATAAAAAATAGGTGATTAAAATATTATATTTATTTAAAGCTGATTAGATTACGAAGAAATAACGTTTAAATAATGGTTGAAGTTAAATATTTTTTCGAACAAAAATACTTCTGCACTCAAAAGAAAATAGTTAGAGATCAGTATTACTACTTTTTTTATATGCGCACAAACATCCTTTTTCTACGTTACTACTTTTTGTTTTCACCTTTTTAATTGTAACTGGAAGCAGAGTACGACAAGTTTACAACTATAAATGTATCTGTTTCTCTAATATTCGTATATCAATTATGGATAATAAATAATTCAGGAATTTCTAAAATTCTTTAATATTCCCTCGATCACTTATGTATTTCTTCACTTTTTAGATAAAGTAAACAAAATGTCTTAGTTCAAATAAAAACATGTTTAAAGAGTAGATAAAGTGCAGAAAACGTTAAATAACATAAAATGGTGAAATTAGAACAAAAAACTTTTCCAGATAGTACGGTGATGAAAAGTATTAATCATCGTTCACGTTCATCATCCGTATCATCAAACGGTAGTATCAATAACAATAATAACTATGGTTATTCATCATCTGATTCCTTTTTGTCATTAATTGAGTCACCGGTTTCATCATCATCGAAAAATCAGTCTAATCAACAACAAAATCAAACATATTTTAGAAATCGAAAACGTACTCACGATCGCGTCAATATTGTCGCAAATGGTACAATAATTAAAGATTCAAATAATAATAATTGGATGGTACAAAATTGTATTAAAGCACGTCATGAACGTTATCTCTATACAGTCACACCTGTTAAACATCAGTCAGCTCAGCAACAACAACAACAACATAATATTGTAAAAACAAAAATATCTCCGCTGATGTTTTTAACAGAAAAGTTAAAAGAATCAAGAGAAGATATATTAAATAAAGCAAAAGCTCAAAATGAAGAACTCGATTATGTTTTTTATGGTGCAGTGATGACAACTAGTGATGATAATAATAATAATAACACTAACGAACATTCAGTGACTAATTCAACAACAGCAAAGTAGGTTCAAGTTCTTATACAACGTTTACTTTCGAATTTAATTTATGATGAATATTATTTTTTACATGTTTTTGTTGTTCGTTTTAGTCAACTAACGTGGTCATCGTCTTGTACTCTATCATTATCATCAGCAGATAGCGTTGAAAAGAAAAATAAACAGCTTTTTAGTAAATTTAATGGTTCTGAAATAACGCCACAACATCAAAAACCAAAACAAGTGTACGAACATAACCATCATCATCAATGTGAAAAAGTGACAAAAGTAATTCATGGAATTGTTGAATTTTTAAAAAATGATGAAACGTATGACAGTAATAAAGTGAATAAATATTCGGTTGAAATGGTATTCACACAAGACAAAAGTCAACAAAATGATAATCCATCGGATTTGTTACAACAAGTGTTAAAAAAAGAAATATTTAAATTAAAAGAAATAAGACGAAAAAATACGTCTAACAGCAATGGTGATGGATTTTATAAGTTTATTGTTAAAAAAGACCGTCTTAATGATCGTAATACATATGAATTACATGAACAAGACGAAGAACAACAAACAGAAACCAATAGTAAAGTAATACCAACGCCAATCCAACCTCCGATAAAATATTTACTAAAGTTAGAACTATCGTCAGCGAATAAAACGTCGACGTCGTCATTGTACACAATTGATAATGAAATTAACTTTTATTCTAAATTTGCCACACAAGATAAGCTAAAAAGTTTTATTAAAAAACATCAACTTATGTATTTAGCTATACCAGAATATGTTGCATCTGGTCTGTATAAACATACAAATGGTTCAATATATAAGTTTTTAATTATGGAACAATATCGCGATAATTTAAAATCGTTGATTAATTCCTACGATTCGAGTTTACCTGAGCATAATGCATTAAATTTATTTTTACAAGTACTTTATGTATTACAATATATTCACGAGAAAAATTATGTACATAAAATTATAAAACCGAAATATTTAACATTTGCCTCCAAACAACCATATTTTATTTATTTAACTCAATTTAGAACGGTGAAATATATAAATGATGATACAATAAATGGTGAGTTTATTTATTAGTTTGATGGACTAGTCATTCAAGTGTAAATCCATCTGAAATGTCTCATCATTACAGCCAGTTGATCGACTTCATTTAAAATTAGTCTAGTTCCAAAAAGCACATTGAGTTACGTAAGAGAATGTCTTTTCTGACTTCACAGTAGACGCAGAAACCGAGAAATATGACTATTACTCTTCCAGCAAAATTATCGGTTTCGGCGCCACTCTCAGTGCGAATTGATAAGTATCGCGATGAATCCTGCAACATGTTTTCCCTTTTTTCGACAAAGCGCTTAAGGTTATTATTATAGAGTGAGACCAGAACTATATTCTCTACAACTTTGAGGAAT